GGTATAACACCCGGACACTCCTGAAGCGCACATCAACAAATAACTGCCGCGCTATGGGGGCCGGAAAACCCCAGAAAAGCATTCCAACTCTTAATAAGGAATTTCAGGCCCGTCACCGGTACGTTAGGCCCATATTGGATATGGGCCCAGTTTGGAACCCAACCCAGCCAAGCTGTAAAAAAAAAACTGAGAAAGTGCAAAGGTTTTCAACAAGAAATCCCAGATTAAGAGGTATGTCTATGGGAGAGGTTAAGGGGGAAAACAATCTGCACATGGAGGACAGGGAGATAGGGGGGGTGATAACGACTTACAAAATATGAGAGGAATTGACAAGGTGGACAAAGCAGGATGTTCCAAGACTGGCACAGCAACACGGGGACACAGTTGGAAGCTGAAACACAGATGAATCAAAAAGGGATGTTAGGAATATTTCTTTAGCCACAGGTAGAGGAATGGAATAGTTTTTGGAAGCGATGTAGTGGAGGGATCCATACATAGTTTAAGCAGGGTAGATAAAGCTCATGGTTCGGGGGGAGTGACCTAGTAGCGACCAGTGAAGAGGCGGGGCCAGGAGCTTGGACTCGACCCCTGCAACCTCAACTAGGTGAGTACACACACACACACACACACACACACACACACACACACACACACACACACACACACTTGATAAAGCACGTCAAGAAACTAGAGAAAGTACAAAGGTTTGCCACAAGGTTAGTTCCAGAGCTAAGGGGAATGTCCTATGAAGAAAGATTAAGGGAAATCGGCCTGACGACACTGGAGGACAGGAGGGTCAGGGGAGACATGATAACGACATATTAAAATACTGCGTGGAATAGACAAGGTGGACAAAGACAGGATGTTCCAGGGAGGGGACACAGAAACAAGAGGCCACAATTGGAAGTTGAAGACACAAATGAGTCAGAGAGATATTAGGAAGTATTTCTTCAGTCATAGTTGTAAGGCAGTGGAATAGCCTAGAAAATGACGTAGTGGAGGCAGGAACCATACATAGTTTTAAGACGAGGTTTGATAAAGCTCATGGAGCGGGGAGAGAGAGGGCCCAGTAGCAACCGGTGAAGAGGCGGGGCCAGGAGCTAAGACTCGACCCCTGCAACCACAAATAGGTGAGTACACACACACACACACACACACACACACACACACACACACACACACACTCTCAGGGAGAGTGACCTAGTAGCGATCAGTGAAGAGGCGGGGCCAGGAGCTCGGACTCGACCCCCGCAACCTCAACTAGGTGAGTACAACTAGGTGAGTACATACAGTGGACCCCCGGTTCGCGACGCTATCGGTATCCAATAAATCCGGTAGCCGATGATTTATATCGCCAAAAATTTGCCTCGGTTCCCATTACAAAACTCGGTATGCGATTCGTACGAGACATGTCCACGTGTGGCCTGAACTGCCCCGTGTGTGCCAGTGTTTACAAGCCAACCAGTGTGCGCGCATCTAAGGGTACATTCCATATTATCCATATTATCTCTGTTTTTGTTGCTTGTTTCTGCAAAATAAGTCACCCTGGGCCCCAAGAAAGCTTCTAGTGCCATCCCTGTGGTAAAAAGGGTGAGAATTAGTATGGAAATTAAGAAAGATTTTGAAGGGTTTGGGGCTAACCCTGAGAAGCCTATGCCAGTTGTGGACTAACCCTGAGAAGCCTATGCCAGTTGTGGAATCCATTGTGCCTACTTCAAAAATTAAGAAAATGTGTGCAAAGTGGGTTGAACTGCAAACCTTTATGTATGAAAATCACCCTAACACAGCTATTGCAAGCCGTGCTGTTGATTATTACAATGACAATGTTGTGGCCCATTTTAGACAAATCTTAAAGGAACGGGAGGTACAGAGCTCTATGGACAGATATGTTGTGCGACAGAAGTCCAGTGACTCTCAAGCTGGTCCTATTGGCATTAAAAGAAGGGAAGTAACCCCAGAAAAGGACTTGCTACCTCAAGTCCTAATGGAGGGGGATTCCCCTTCTAAACAATAGGTTCAACACACTCCCCTCCTCCCATCCCATCAATCATCACCAGATCTTCATTAAAGGTAAGTGTCAATTATTCTATTCTTATTATTCTAATGTTATTGTTGTTATTGTAATTATTCTATTGCATTAAACTTAATATTTCATGTGGTAAAAGTTTTTTTTTTTTCATACTTTTGGGTGTCTTGCACGGATTAATTTGATTTCCATTATTTCTTGTGGGGAAAATTTATTCGCTTTCCGATAATTTTGGTTTACGATGAGCTCTCAGGAACGGATTAATATTGCGAATCGGGGGTCCACTGTATATACATACATATATACTACAATGTTACATTATTCTACACTACATACGATGCTGTACAATATACATAACTATATATATTACTTCAGTAATTTACAGGATTTATTTTTAAGTGAGTTGTCTCTGGTGAGGACCTCATCTCTCCTCTTGTCTTGGATGTACAAAGGTACTTCCAGCAATAATACGTACTTAAATATTCGTTGGATCTTCGAAGACCTCCACCAAAATGCGGATCATAAAGTTGGATTACCAGTGGGCAAATTATATTGGCTTCACTGCAAGGAGTGGTACCGAAGATGTATGTTTCATTATCGATACAGGTTCTCCAAACTCTTTAGTCTGAAGATCATTTCTGAATGGTTGCAAAATCAAGAACAAAAAGAGTTATGGGACAATTGAAACCTGTAACATTGTTTTACATTTTCAAGGATGTGGAATAGACCTCCTTCTTAACATAATAGATGGTAATTTGAATTTTGGTCTTCTAGGCATGGACTTCTTGGTTGGCCACCAATGCTCCCTCGAATTTATATATGATGAGCCACAGCTTATAGCTCGTAAACTATTATTCAAGACATTTACTCCTCGGCACATGTTTCAAGAGCTGGAGATCGAGGGTCAAACTGCAATATGCCATTTGGCCACAGGAAGTCCTATGTCAATCATAACAGAGGATATGGCCTGCAGATTTGGCCTAAATGCTGTTTATGATGTGTCACCAGTTAAACATTTAACTCTAAATGTTAAATTAAAAATAGATTCAGAGATAATAAAAGTTGATTTTGAAGTTGTAAAAACATTTATGCATCCTATAATCATTGGACTGCCTGTGTTAAAGAAACTGTAGGTAATAAATTTTACAAAACAACGGCATAAAATTTCTTCAGAGAGACATGTTTGTTACACTGATGTAATTTGAGGCTATGCCAGAGGACTTCCTCTTAAACAACGTATTAAGGAAGGTTTTCTAAAATTAAATAACAAAAAAGGCACAATACCGTGACTGGAACGATACACAAATAACCCGCACATAAAAGAGAGAAGCTTACGACAACGTTTCGGTTCGACTTGGACCATTGACAAAGTCACACTAACCAGAGGTGGAGCAGGACGGCTATATATAGGCAGGGAGAGGTGGTTGTTTTGTACATAAGAATGAAACACTTAATTGAACTTTTAAAATACGTATATATTTTGTTATGTAATGACCATTGCATTAAACCTGCATTATATGGTTGATATATGCGAGTTATTTGTAATTTTTATAATTTTCTGTCCTGACGTCCAACTCTCGAAGATACGAGAGGAGTTATCTATGACTTATGACCGGGTCGCATAAGTCCCATTGACAGTTTTGTCAATTTAGTTTTTTACATAAAGGAATCGGTTTTGTTTATAATAATACGTATATGTATAAAGGAAAATTATATAATTTAGAGAATTATGTAATTAATGCCTCAGAAAATAGAAAACTGACAAGTATAAAAACCCAGGTTGAAGTTTGCTGAGCTGAGGGAATCCTTAATACTGCATGACGTGATGCTGGAGCCGTCCATCTGTCACCTACAAGTCTCATACCATCCAAGATTTTCATAAATAACTACAGACAGTGGCATCGTAAAGGGGGGGGGGGCTGCCTGCCCTGGGTGACACCATCAAGGGGTGACTCCATAGACCCTCTAAAGAAGGTGACACTAATGCCCAAAACAGTGCTGCAGCAACATAAGAGAAAAATCCTTCATTTCTATATAACCTCGTATGATTACAGGGAAAATCATTGATTTTGATGATGTGATAGATGATTTTGCAGGATTGAAGGCAAGGAAATGTAAGATCAGATTCACTGAGATATTACCCGTACTCAAGGTCAAATCGGGACTAGTGTTTCTCTGATATTATTTTTCAAGTTTTTTTTTTTTTGTATTATTGAAGATGAATAAATGTTGGATCTGTTGCCTGTACTCAAAGTAATATTTGAGTTTGTTTCCTCAATATTACTACAATTATTTATTTTATCATTAATAAAGTTGAGAAGTATTCTCCTGTTCGGTTTATGGCCCTTGAAGGTTCTCATTGCTAAACATTAGTCACTGGGCATGCAGTAGTGACGTAACTGGAGTTTACTTCTCCCCATTCCCCCGCCCTTGGATTTCATGGGGGTGACACTAAAGATGCTGCTCCAGTTGACACCAACCCTAGCAACGCCACTGCATTTACAAACAAGTAACTTCTGTTGTATTTCAAAACATTGAGTATGCGAGAATAAATGTTGTCTAAGCAAGCATGTGGGTCTACATACAGCATATTAAAGTATAGTATGGGAAAATGGCAAAACAAGAAAAAAAGGGGCAAAGAATGGGAAAACATTACAGTATTAGGTGATATTATGGTATAGAATTAATGGAAATGGTTCAGAATACATAGTATTTATAAAATGGTGGTGAAGGACAGGTGTAGTGAAAGTGATCAATAATAGTAGGGATGTCAAATTTTGTGACACTGACTCCTTAACTAAGACATAGTAGGCCAAACACTGACTGTATAACAGGGACATCATTTCCTTTGGTTCACCTCCTCTTTTTTGCATCAGACATCATTACCTCCAATCCCAAGGCACTATGACCCCCTACAGGTACAGTGCTTCCTCATGAACTTGTGATATTGGTATATAATGTTCCTGTGCTTCAGGTGTGGTGGACCAACTGTGTATTCACCTTACACCTGGCTGGGTACTAAGGTCACTCTCCGTAGACCGACTCCAGCACTCTCACTACCCAAGGAAAATGTTCCAAAAGGTATTGCCTTACTTGTATCATTACTTAAAAATGTCTTTCCTTTGTGTATTATTTAGTGCAGTCCTTGCCATATTTTTTTATAACAGTATTTCTGGTTCATGTGGTATAATGCTTTAAGTATGTTTTAATGTCATGGTCATGTCTTCCCTAATTCTTATATCCTCCTGGTCATTAGGTTTAGTTCATTCTATTCAGTACTGCCTTATCCTACAGGGGAAGATCAAAGTACCCTTGATCAAGGCGCATGCAAGTCACTGGTGCAGGAGCTGTCAGTGCTACGGCGTCTCCGTCACCCAGCATTCTTGGAGGTGATGGCCGCGTGTCATGTGACCTCGCCCTACCCTGAGCACATCACCCTTGTCTTCCAGAAAGTACCTCATGGCTCCCTCTACCATCACTTACATGTTGAGGTAAGCTCTGAAATTCTATATATAAGATTTTATTAAATATTTTTCTACAATCTGCTCAGTGTTTTTTTGCAATATATTGCAAAACAAATACTTGGTGGATCGAGCAGAAACAATTTGCAAATGGCAGATAAGTATTAGCTCTTGGCTCTGCAAAAACAGAGCAATCTCAGCACAAGAAGTTTGTAGTCCTTAATATGTTAATACTGTATGTAAGAGAGAGACTTTGACAAGCACTACAGTAATTGGACACACGCACACGCGCACATGCACGCACGCATGCATGCTCAGCTTGTAGCATTTACTGTCAGTTCTACAGCATCTGATGTGCACCCTTCATTCCACTCAGCATTGCTCTTTTACTTCCACCTCGTTCAAGAGGGAAATATGACCCATCAATCATAGTTGAAATACGACCCATCAGAGGAGGTTTAATAGAAAAACTAAATTTGAGTTCAATATTATCATTATATGCCCTCAAGGTTAGATTTTTCTAATCTTACACTTATGGAAGATTCTATCATCGCCCCTGAACTTAAATGAGGCTGACAAAATTAAATGTGTGCAGAAAACAGAAGTGTGGAGTCATGATGAGAATTACAGGAAGGAATATGCAATCCTCTAACTCATACTTGCTCAAATTAAGTAAAGTTAGGGCAATATTACAACTTAACTGCATGTTGGACTTTGTGCAGCTATGACTGTCTCCTGGTCAGCTGCCCCAGTAAGGATAAGAACTGTTCAGAATAAATCAGGAAGGACACACAGACTTCAAATCAGATTCACCCACATTCCTCAACTGCCATGGAACATTGAACACTAACAGCAAAATGTAAAGAATTGAGTCAAGAATGATGTTAAGACAAAATTTATTCCTACTGATTTACTTGTGACTTGGTTCAAGGACCTTTTTTTTTTTTCTGTAGTTTGGCCTTTGGCCAGGCTTTCATAGTGATTGCCTGTCCAACCAGGCTGTTGTTAGTAATCCAAAAGCCCATGTATGCTGCAATAGCTATGTGTGCAAGAAAATATACATTAAAAAATCTAAAAGGTATGCAACAAGTAGAAGCCTCAACCACAACATTGGAGGATTGAGGACTCTGGACATGTATAAACAAAGATTGAATATCAAACAAAGATTACTTATTGCTGTAGGAAGCCTTCCCCAACTGAGAGATCATGTCTTACAACTTGACAGGTTGAAGTTGAAGGACCATCCAGGGCACACTTTGCACTATGTAACTGTAGTACACATATAGGTGATATACAAAGTAAAATTAACAAATATGTGAATTTGGAAGGAAAGTAGTATATATCATGTCCCAATAGATCTTCCACTGGAGCTAATTACCATCATGCTAGGAGTCTAGAAAATTAAACACCATTATCATGTAAGACAACAATGTCCCAATATGTTGAATCCTGATTATCAATTTTTGCTCTCTGCAGGATTGTTGCTTGGTACTTGCACACCTGAACCACCAAAATGTTAGTTTTCAAAGGTATGGTTATACCAACATATGTTACACTGCAAGAAAGACTGCATCCCACTGAGGCAGGGTGACCCCCCCAAAAAAAAACGAAAGATTTACTTTTTAAATTTAGTAATTTGTACAGAAAGGGTTACTAGCCCCTTGCTCCCAACATTCCAGTTGCCTCCCATGGCACGCATGGCTTACAGAGGAGGAATTCTTTTCCGCTTCCCCATGGAGATAAGAAGAAATAAAGAACAAGAACTATAAAGATAAAAGAAAACCCAAATGGGTGTGTTTATATAATCATGTACATACATGTGTAGTGTGACCTAATTGTAAGTAGAAGTAGCAAGATATATCTGTTATCCCGTGAGTTTGAGACAGAGAAAAAGACACTAGCAATCCTACCATCACATAAAACAGTTACAGGTTTCCGTTTCACACTCGCTTTCAGGATTGTAGTACCTCCCTGGGTAGTTGCTATCTACCAACCTAGTACAGGTAAGCCATCACTAATCTGGCAGTCAGTAATCCGGTTCCATCAGTAATCCGGCACTAATTTCAGCTAGCATAATTTCAAATTTCTGAAGTCTGTACACCATCCTGCTGCTACTGTTTGGTGGCACTACTTGCTGCACAAGTCATTCCAATTTCTTTTTTCCATTTATTGTTATAACCTGCTTACTTTTAGCCCTAGCCATGGTTCCAAAGAATAAAAGAAATGCTTCTCATTGTGTAAAGCACATACACCATACTTTTTTTTTTTCAACAAACCGGCCATATCCCACCAAGGCAGGGTGGCTCGAAAAGAAAAAGGAAAGTTTCTCTTTTTAAATTTAGTAATTTATACAGGAGAAGGGGTTACTAACCCCTTGCCCCCGGCATTTTAGTTGCCTCTTACAACACGCATGGCTTACGGAGGAAGAATTCTGTTTCACTTTCCCATGGAGATAAGAGGAAATAAACAAGAACTAGAAAGAAAATAGAAGAAAACCCTTAGGGGTGTGTGTGTATATATATATGCTTGTACATGTATGTGTAATGTGACCTAAGTGTAAGTAGAAGTAGCAAGACATGTTTGAGACAAAGGACACCAGCAATCCTGCCATCGTGTAAAACAATTACAGGCTTCCGTTTTACACTCGCTTGGCAGGACGGTAGTACCTTCCTGGGCAGTTGCTGTCTACCAACCTACTATCTAGGACATACACTATACATTGTCCATAAAAGATAAGGTGGTTTTGAAGCCACTGTCAGTCCCTATGAACTCAGCTCACTCAGATGAGCTGTGACTGGTAAATTTGGGCCTACATATGTAAGAATGGATCTATGTGGTATGTGTGCACTATATAAAAAAAATAGTGTAGCATGCGGTGCATAATGTGGAAGAAAAACTGTGACTGGTGTAAAACAGTGACTGCGGTGCATTTTTGTATGGTTTTTATGGTTGTATTCACTTTTTTTGGGTCTCATTTGATAGAATGGAAGATATATTACAGAAATAGACATGATTTTGATTGGTTTCATGACGAAAAGTACCTTGAAATTGAGCTCAAAGTAGTGGAAATGTTCGATTTTTGCCGATGTTCAAGAGTAAACAAATGACCTCACTGTCCAATACGTGTTCAACTGGCCGATTTAATATATGGTCATTAATGGGTTGACATTATTTATACAATTATTACAATAATGCAGTAGTCTGCATGTGAATAAAAATTCAAAATGGAAAGCAAGAGTAATATAAGAGGGGCCTGGAGACATGACTGATGAACAGAGAAAGTGTTATTTTAGTGCCAGGAATGTCTGCCATGTTTATTCTGGACCCTATTTTGAAATTGGCATCTTTGGAAAATTTGTGTGAAATTGGCCAAATTACCAATTTCTGACCACTTTATTGGGTTGTTGAAATAGGTGAATGAGTGATTTCTTGTACTCAGTAGACAGAATAGAAGGAATACTAGTGAAATAGCTAAAAGTTTGGAAGACTGAAACAATGGAATGGGCCAAAAGTAGGGTGTAAAGTGGGTGAAATTGCCAATGCGTAGATATCACCATTGGCTTGAGTGTATTCTAACCTAACAACTCTGTAATCTGGCAGAATCGCTAATCCGGCACCCTACAGGTCCTGATGATGCCGGATTAGTGGTGGCCATCCTGTACCTAGGTTGTCTTTATTTATTTATGTAATATTGGTACTCAGTATCCAGTAAATAATACTTGATTTACAGCTATACAAGAGCCATAAATATGTAATATGATGTCATTAAGTACATGAAGTACAGTGCCTACATTTATATGAAAAGGAGCCGGCTCTGACAAATAGGCACTCCATCTTTAAAAACTAAAAATAAATGTGCATTTGGCACTAAATATCCTGCAGCATTGTCCCACCACAACCAGGGAGGAGATCAGTGGACCTTGCTCTGCCTGCATTTAGCCTTGTGCCTCTGTGCTCAAGTGTGGCTGTAGGGTCTCTTCTTCAGCCTCTGTATTGTCTAAATCCTGTTTTCCACTGGGGATTTGGCTTTGCACAAGGACATTCTGAACTTCTGTCATAAGGAGCTGGGCTGTGGTTGCCTGTTTTAGATCCAGCACATGCATGCAACCTGGCTTGTGCTGTAGAATGAAACACACTACACTTTTCCATTATTAGAAGTGGACTACCCTCCTGGATGTGTTCATAGCCAAAGAGGTCAGCTCATACCCCTTTCTTCCCATTGGTACCATAGGTTCATCTTTGTTGGTGGTGGGTGGAGACCACTAAGTGCTGGACTATGGTAATGGATTTGATTATCTTCACTGAGTATGATTTGTTTCATATCTCAAGGGTCAGATGGCATTAATGATAGGTAAAGAGTGAGGAAGGTATAGACTTTCTTTTTTTATCGTTGATGAAGACTGTTCAGATTTACCAACAAAATCAGTAAGCACTAATCCATGTTTTACAACAGCATCAGCAGTGTATTGTTGTCTACACAGCGTCTGCTGCTCCCCAGACATTTTGACACAACCACCAAATGTTAGACTAACCATTCTATCCTGACTATTTGGCAGACCCTAGTTACACAGGGTAGTAGAGCCATGTTCTAATGAATCCTGTGTTTGTTTTATACCTAAACTTTCATTGACATTTTGTGCACTATTACGCCATGGTCACACTTGTCAAAAGCCTTTGACAAGTGTGACCATGGCATAATAGCGCACAAAATGCGTGCTAAAGGAATAACAGGAAAAGTTGGTCGATGGATCTATAATTTTCTCACTAACAGAACACAGAGTAGTAGTCAACAGAGTAAAGTCCGAGGCAGCTACGGTGAAAAGCTCTGTTCCACAAGGCACGGTACTCTCTCCCATCTTGTTCCTCATCCTCATATCTGACATAGACAAGGATGTCAGCCACAGCACCATGTCTTCCTTTGCAGATGACACCCGAATCTGCATGACAGTGTCTTCCATTGCAGACACTGCAAGGCTCCAGGCAGACATCAACCAAATCTTTCAGTGGGCTGCAGAAAACAATATGAAGTT